AATAATTTCTCATATTAAAAATTTAATTTGTTGCATTGTTATGCATGATTTTCGCGTATGACGATCCTTATAGTCATATATAAATTTTTCGTTCAAAAAATTTTTTGAATTTTGAAAAATGTCCTTCCAAAATAAAGATTTGAAACGTTGGACTAGCGGAAATGTAAAAATTGATAGTTTTATTCAAGAAAGACAGTTAAAAATTAATGAATATAAGGGTGCAGTATTTGAATGGATACCATACGATCAGTTTAACGAAATTAAAGAAACAGGCAAAAATTATCCCATAACTGTATATTCAGCAATATGGAAGAATGGCCCATTAAACACTAAGAAGTTTAATACAAAAGATTCAAATAAAGAAGTTGCTTTAAAATGTTTGCACAGCTGGCGAAATCCTGTTGATTCTCTAATAAATGAGGTATATATATCTATAAAAATTATTATATTTATTATCACATTTTTTAATATATATGATGTTAATTTATTGTTTATGATTTTAGGCTAAAAAATATTTAACAAAAAATAATAATATACTTGTATTGCATGGAATATCTCGAAATCCAGATACAGGAAATTATATTTTAGTTCAAAGTAATTTTGCAAAACTTATAAGTTGGGCAAGTGGAAATGAAAAAATTGATGATTTCATTCAAGGAAGGCAATCAATAAATATCAATTTCAATGATCATGTAATATTTGAATGGATACCATACAATCAGTTTAATAAAATTAAAGAAGTAAGAAGAAATGGTTCTATAACTGTATATACAGCAATGTGGAAGGATGGCCCATTATACAAAAAGTATCGGTATCATTATTATAGAAGAGATTTAAATAAAGAAGTTGTTTTGAAATGTTTACATAACTTGCAAGATCCTGTTGATTCTCTAATAAATGAGGTATAAATTTCTATAAACATTATTACATTTTAAATATAATGTTAATTTCTGTTTATGGTTTAGGTTAAGAAATATTCAACAAAAAATGAATTTCTTGTATTGTATGGAATATCTCAAAATCCAGATACAAGTGATTATATTTTAGTTCAAAATTATCTTATCCGAACTAGCGGAAATGAAAAAATTGATGATTTCATTCAAGAGAGGAAATTAGAATGGATACCATACAATCAGTTTAACGAAATTAAGGAAATAGGCAAAAATGGTTCTATGACTGCATATTCAGCAATATGGAAAAATGGCCCATTGTATAAATATAATGGTAAATATACAAGAGATTCAAATAAAGAAGTAGCTTTAAAATGTTTGCATAACTTACAAAATCCTATTGATTCTCTAATAAATGAGGTATAAGCATCTATAAAAATTATTATATTTATTATAATCACATTTTTTAATATATATATAATATTAATAATTTCTTGTTTATGGTTTTAGGCTAAAAAATATTTGACAAAAAATAACAGTATACTTGCATTGTATGGAATATCTCGAAATCCAGATACAGGAGATTATATTTTAGTTCAAAGTAATTTTGCAAACCTTATAAATTGGACAAGTGGAAATGAAAAAATTGATGATTTCTTTCAAGAAAGGCAATTAAATGCTTATTCCTATATGGGTGTAATTTTTGAATGGATTCCATACGATCAGTTTAATGAAATTAAAGAAGCAGGCAAAAATGATTTTATAACTGCATATTCAGCAATATGGAGGAATGGCCCATTGAATAAATATAATGGTAAATATACAAGAGATTCAAATAAAGAAGTAGCTTTAAAATATTTGCATAACTTGCAAAATCCTGTTGATTCTCTAATAAAAGAGGTATAAATTTCTAAATGCTGTTACATTTATTATTATATTTTTTAATATATATAATGTTAATTTCTTGTTTATGGTTTTAGGCTAAAAAATATTCAACAAAAAATAACAATTTACTTGTATTGTATGGAATATCTCGAAATCCAGATACAGGAGATTATATTTTAGTTCAAAGTAATTTTGCAAACCTTATAAGTTGGGCAAGTGGAAATGGAAAAATTGATGATTTCATTCAAGAAAGGCAATTGAAAAATATTAATTCCAATGATGATGTAATATTTGAATGGATACCATACAATCAGTTTAATAAAATTAAAGAGGTAGGCAGAAATAGTTCTATAACCGCAATATGGAAGGATGGCCCATTATACAAAAAGTGCAATTTTGATCATGATTATAGAAGAGATTCAAATAAAGAAGTTGTTTTGAAATGTTTACATAACTTGCAAAATCCTTTTGATTCTCTAATAAATGAGGTATAAATTTCTATAAATATTATTACATTTATTATTATATTTTTAAATATAATGTTTAATTTTCAGTTCTGTTTATGTTTTAGGCTAAAAAATATTCAGTAAAAAATAAATTTCTTGTATTGTATGGAATATCTCAAAATCCAGATACAAGTGATTATATTTTAGTTCAAAATAGTTGTATAAACTTGGCAAATCAGATCAGTAGAAATAAAAAAATTGATGATTTCATTAAAAAAAGTCGATTAAATATTAATTCCTATGACGATGTAGTATTTGAATGGATACCATACAATCAGTTTACCAAAATTAAAGAAATAGGCAAAAATGGTTCTACAACTGCATACTCAACAATATGGAAGAATGGCCCATTACAGTATGATTATGCAAGAAATACAAGAAAATTTAGAAGATATCCAAATAAAAAAGTAGTTTTTAAATGTGTGCATAACTTGCAAAATCATGTTGATTCTATAATAAATGAGGTATAAATTTCTATAAACATTATTACATTTATTATTAAGGTTTTAAATACAATATAATGTTAATTTTCTTTTTATGGTTTAGGCTAAAAAATATTCAACAAAAAATAACAAATTACTTGTATTGTATGGTATATCTCAAAATCCAGATACAAGTGATTATATTTTTGTTGAAAATAATCATTACATATGGAAAAGTGGAAATGAAAGAATTGATGATTTCATTCAAAAAAGGCAATTGAATGTTAATTCTTATAATGATGTAGTATTCGAATGGATACCATACGATCAGTTTAACAAAATTAAAGAAGTAGGCAGAAATAGTTCTATAACTGTATATTCAGCAATATGGAAGACTGGCCCATTGCATATGATGGGTTCATCTTATACAAGAGAATCAAGTAAAAAAGTAGTTTTAAAATACTTGCATAACTTGCAAAATCTTGTTGATTCTCTAATAAATGAGGTATAAATTTTTATAAATATTATTACATTTATTATTACATTTTAATATAATGTCAATTCTTGTTTATGATTTTAGGCTAAAAAATATTCAACAAAAAATAACAAATTTCTTGTATTGTATGGAATATCTCAAAATCCAGATACAAGTGATTATATTTTAGTTCAAAATAATTTTGTAAACCTTAAAAATTGGATAAGTGGAAATGAAAAAATTGATGATTTCATTCAAGAAAGACAATTAAATATTAATTCTTATGATGATGTAGTATTTGAATGGATACCATACAATCAGTTTAATGAAATTAAAGAAGTAGGCAGAAATGGTTCTATAACTGCATATTCAGCAATATGGAGTAATGGTCCATTATACAAAATAAATAAGTGGAGTTCATATTATACAAGAGATTCAAATAAAAAAATTACTTTAAAATGCTTGCATAAATTGCAAAACCCTGTTGATTATCTAACAAATGAGGTATAAATTTCTATAAATAATATTGCATTACTATTGCATTTTTAATATAATGTTAATTCCTGTTTATGGTTTAGGCTAAAAATTATTCAACAACAAATAATGACAATTTACTTGTATTGTATGGGATATCTCAAAATCCAGATACCAAGGACTATATTTTGGTTCTTAATAATGAAAATTATTGTAGCATGTGTGATGAAATATATACAGATATCCAGTATAAATGGTGTAAACTATGTAATTTTTTGTACTGGAAAAGTGGAGATAATAAAATTGATAGTTTAATTCAATTAAAAATTAATAAACCGAGTGATACAAGATTTAAATGGATACCATATAATCAGTTCAATAAAATTAGGAATATAGGAAAAGGACATTTTTTTACAGTATATTCAGCAATATGGAACCATGAAGAGGTTGCTTTAGTATGTTTCAATGATTCACAAAAATTTTTAAATAAGGTATGAAGGTATAAAATATTTTTAATTTAAATTAAATTTTCTTTGAATTTTTTAGTGATGTATCTTTATAATTTAACAGGTTAAAGAATATGATAATAGTTTCAAAATGTATGGGATATCTCAAAATCAAAAAAAAAAGAATTACATTTTGGTTCTTGAAAATGAATATTGTACAGAATATGGTAAAACATATTGCAAAAATTGTGGTGAAAAATATGGTCATGTTGATCATACATGGTGTAGACAATGTCTAATAACTGCAACTTCCATTAATAGTAGAAATGAAAAAATTGATGATTTAATTCAAGAAATGCAATTAAAAATCAATTCTCCTTTTAATATAATATTTGAATGGATACCATATGATCAATTTAATTACATTAAAGCAATAGGTAAAGGTGGATTTGCTACAGTTTATTCAGCAATATGGAAAGATGGTCCAATAAAATATGATGTTGATGAAGAAATGTGTACTAGAGTTTCAAATAAAAAAGTTGCTTTAAAGTGTTTAAATAATTCACAAAATATGATTGATAAATTTTTAAGTGAGGTATGAAATTTCTTAATAAATTTATTTTAATTGGAATGCTTTTTTAACAATAATTTTTATTTATTAAAATAGGTTAGAGAATATTCAATTAACAAAATGGATGATATTCTTAATGTATATGGAGTATCACAAAATCCAAATACAAATGATTATATTATAGTTATTGAATATGCAGATGGTGGAAGTTATAATAATTGGATAGATATAAATTATAAAGATTTTGATTGGGGAAATAAAATACAGACACTTCTTAGTATCATTGAAGGTCTCAAAGGAATTCATAAAAATCAGAAGGTTCATCATGATTTTCATACAGGAAATATATTGTTTTTAACAAAAAACTTAAATAATCTTAATAGGAAATCGTTATTTATATCAGATATGGGATTATGTGAAAATGTGAATAATACAAGTGAGGAAAAAACTTATGGAGTTATTCCTTATATGGCACCTGAAGTATTAAGAGGAATGCCATATACTAAAGCAGCAGATATATATAGCTTTGGTATGATTATGTATTTCACAGCAACTGGAAAACAACCTTTTGACAATTGTGCACATGACCATCATCTAACATTAGCGATATGTGATGGAATAAGACCTGAAATAAATGAGCTGGAAATACCAAAATGTTATATTGACTTGATGAAAAGATGTTGGGATTCAAATCCAAATAATAGACCAAGTGTTACTGAAATAAATGTTGGGATTAAGTCATTTTATAATTTTTATAACTCATATAAAAAAGGTGATTCAAATGCAACTGAGATTAGAAAGCAATTTAAAGAAGCAGAAATTTACAGAAAATCACTCCCTTCCCTCAAGAAAAACAAACAACATCCAGAAGCTATTTATACATCTCGATTACTTGATCCTTTTACAAAGGATCTTCCTAAGTATGATAATTCTGAATGTATAAGTTGTGCAATCATTGCTGATTGATTATGTCCATTCAGATTAAATCTTTATTTAACAATAATATAGTATTTAGCTTTCAAATATTTTTATAATATCGAATCTATCAATTAGATTCTCCAAGCTTTTTGATATCTTACTAATATAAAATTTAAAATGCAGAAGGCTAACTAATTGTTGTCTTCCATAAAGTTTATTTAATATCATGCACTGATGCTTGTCTTTTAATATTTTATATCATAAGTCACCAACCTTCTTTCTCTATTATTGACACTGATAATAAATCAGATTATAACTTTCAATATTATTGATACCTTTTTGGAATATAGAGAAATTATATTCTTTTTTGTAGTTAGTATTGTTCAACACTGATTATAGAGTATATGTAATTTTTTATTTACATAAATAAATCAGTTTGTAATTGAGCAATTGCTTGATATTTTTGATATGCATAAATAATAATTACAAATGATTAATACCTTAACTTGACACATAAAAATGAGTTATTATTATTTTAATCACAATTATTAAAACAGTCAAATAAATATCTTAATACAAATAATGAAATGCTTTTAAAGACTTTATTGTAAGTAAGGTATGGTGTGTAATGTTATTCCATAAACAGCTGATCAGTGGATAGCTGCAGACATGAACACTTTTACCAACATCTGCCACCTGATGGTAAAAATAGATAATACTTATGATTTCATATGCTTGGTTTCTTATCTCTTTTTAATAGCACTACTTTTAAAGCATTTCTTATTTATATTTTCAATCTGCAATAAGTTCACCTTATCTAGTGCTTTGATCTGTATCCGGATCAATCTGGATCAATCTGGATATTTTTTTTCAGATATCTGGATTTTGCAGTTTTCATCCAGATTATAATCTGGATGAATAATATATGGTTGAAACCGGAATTCAGATGAATCTTTATACATTTTTTTTTGCATAGCACTGTAAATTTATATAATTAAGATTTACAAATTATTTATAAAACTAAGTAAATTTTTTTTAAAAAAAAAACTCTCTACTTCTGTACATTTTCATTAAAATTCCGCAGTAAAGTGCACAAGTTAATATTTTTTAACACTTCAAAAAGAAGGACCACAGGAGTGGCCTCTATGGAAAGCACTCCTCTTCCCTTTTTGACCTCAAGAGAGTTGTGGATAGGCTCTACAACCGTTCCACCTGGCCGGACATATGGAAACACTGGTGACAAAGTTTATTCCTTTCCCACCAGATGAAGATGAATATGAACTCTTGTCTGTTAGTGCAGAAACTTTTGAGCAAATATCTTACGACTCATGGCAATATAGCCAACAAGAAAATTATCTCAACTTCAATGAAGTTGATAGTAAACACTCTATTTGGGCCCACAACTGGACTTCCTCGACTGCTGGATTTTTCACACGACCATCTATGCTAACACCTTGGGCAAAACGTCCATTCGTTCATTAGACGCAGCACTAACTGAAGGTGTTCATGGCAGGAACAATCACCACTTTTAGAAATCTACTACGAATACATTGACTTATTATAGATTAATACTGCACTGCACGCTAACATTTCACAAATTTCTCATATAGGAAAATTTTTTATACAACGAAAAGAACATTCCAGAACTATTTTAAAGCCAGTCACATGACAAATGACGTAAATATTATTATGAACCTCTCTTTACTTTGCGGCAATGGCTTCGATAACTCCTCTTGAGGAGATCCAATATCGAATCTAACTACAACCCCACCACGGAGTTACTTACGAAATATCAGTGGCTCTTATCTTACTTTCTCTTTCTATTGCTGGCTTTTCTCTTTTATTTTGTGGTGGTAGTCTAGGTTATTTAGAATCTTTTTCAACTTTACATATAGATGATAGAAATTTTTTCAGCATCTGGGTTTATTTGTAGAGGATTTTTTCTTGGAATACATATTTCCCTATAGTTTTATCTTTATCTTTTTGTTTTTTATCTCTTAGTCTTTTTACCTTAGTGCATAGTGGGTGGGGTAGGTTAATTCATGCTCTTCCACCAATTAGTTTATATATCAACCAGGGTGGCACTGTCTTACATGGCAGTTTTGTTCACGATTTGTTTAGATTTACTTTTGGCTTACGAATAGTTTGACCTTGTAATTTGTGTCATGAACATGTTCATGTGGATTTAAAAATAAAAATAAAATAAGTATTTTTTTTTTTTTCATTAAAGTGCGACTATAGACAAAATTTCAAATACTGAAAAGTGAAACCACCAAAAACACTTGCATCACATATTGGTCAACTAAAGTTTAAAATGTAATAATTTACTAAACAAAGAATCACTTTCACATTCAAGTGTTCAAAAGAAAAAAAATTTATTATTATTTTTTTTTACAATGAAATAATTATTATTATTTATAAATGAAAAATTATTCAGATCAAATTACAAAAAATTGAGATACTATAAAATTTATATAATTATAATAACTTTTTTAGAAATTGAAATCTTAGTGTTATATAATTTGATTAAATGATTCTTTAATTTTTGAAAGAAGATCTCATTTTAACATTTTAAAAATAGCCTTACTAACTCAACACATCTATCTATAGCAATCTTTAGCTGTATATAAAAATATCTTGTTTATCAAAATTTCATAATTATAGTTACAAAGAAATGTTAAACAATAGTCTGAGACAATGCTGAAATAACATGAAATTGTTTTTAAAAAAAAGTATTGAATAAAATTGGAATTATGAAAATTTCGCGGTCTTTATAGATAATTTTGGCCAAATTTGTAATTCTGGCCGAAATTAATATCACGTGACACCGAAAAATAATTTAGCCGCCGGGTAAAAAAATTTTTTATTGGCTAAGCATGAAAATTTTTAATGTTACATAAATTTGTAATTCCGACCGGCGTTATACAGGCCGGAATTATTGCCGATCAGTTGTAAATCAAATCCGGATAAGAATCCGGATAAGAATCCTGATAAAATTCGGGTCTTTTATTTTGTGTAACCCGGATGACGGTTTTCATCCGGATCGAAGCACTAACCTTATCCTTATATTATTCTTTACTTTTACATCCAAACTTGGATAATTTCTCCTGAATATATTTATTTCATTCATTTTATATACAGTATAAACATTAATTAACTCTCATTTTTTGCAGTGAAACCACAATGATAACTCTTATTGATAGTAATTAATATTTTACTTAAAAGTTAGTGAAGAGCCAAAATCTTCAAAACCCATTATACAGTATATCCTGTATTTATACATTTTGAAGTTACACTAAACTATCCAAATCCTATAATTCCTCCAATTCCATATCTTCTAATTCCCAATTTCTTATACAATATTCTACGTATTCTACTAATAAACTACAAATACTACTTCATTTGAATAAAAGAGTCATTATGATTATAATCAATCAAATATTTTTTATTAATTCACAAAGATCATATCTAGTCATATGCATGTGAAAGATATAGCTTCCATCATTTTCAATTGAAATAGTGGAAAATAAACTGCAAAGGTTGGATGATTACGTTATATTTTGAATAATTATGGGACTATCAGTCTTGTACAATAATAATTTGCGGTTTAAAACGATCTTTATAGGTTTTTTTTTTTTTCATATATTTTTTTTGATGTAATGCTTGGTGTGTGTTATGTTCGCTAGAAAAATTCCTAACGATTGCACACCTTCCCCTCATCACGCATTCTCTTCTCCTTTCACATATTCTTTCTTTATTTCCTTTGATTTTTTTTCTGTGTGAATTTTCTGATGGCGGCGAAGATTACTAACAACTGAGAAATGACGACCACATCCCTCAATTGGACATTTAAAGGGTTTTTCTCCAGTGTGACTATACATGTGTGTCTGCAAAGAACTTGGTCTAGTGAACATTTTTTGACAAATATTACACTTGTACCTTTGAGTTGAGGAAACGGTCTTCAAACTGAAGGTGGTCATCATGGCTTGAAGCGTTGGGACAGTTGAAGGCCTTTGTTGTCCTGGTGATGACTTTGGAGTGTTCACATTTGAGTTAGGTGGCAATCCCAAGTTATTACCATTGGAATACCTTCCCATCGAGATAGGATAATCTTGTGGCGTTGGTGGCAATTCCGGCGGAAAGCCGGTCCTGTGATGCTGCATTCCATTTCGATCATAACCTACAGATTCTGTAATAGTTACATTTTCGGGAGTAAGGTAGGCCGTAGTGGTGAGTGCTGCAGATGCGGGATATGAAGCTGAAGCATATGTTGTAGGAGTGGAAGGATATGCTTCGTGGCTTCCATGACCTCCACTAATAGTAACCGGTTTGGTATCATGTAATTCACTTGAGAAGGATGGGGGAGAAGAAGTTGTAACTTGAGAATTTTCTGTCATTATTTCGTACTAAGTTAGTCAAATCGTAAGGGTCTTAAGATACGACAACTAAGTGAAGTATTTATAATTAGTAAGTCAAGAAAAGGAAAAAATGAATGTATTTTATATATAATTTTCAGATTTCTTTCTTTTATCTTTGATAGCTATTTATTAATTACTTATTAAAAAACAGGTTTCTTATTATGATGTCTGATCATTTTATTATTATTATTATTTTTAAGGCTGATCATTTATTAAAAAAATTTTTTTTTTTTTTTTCTTCTTGCGTGTTTTTTTTAATAAAGTTAATCAATTAATAATAAAATCAATTCGGGAAAAAAACTCTATTATTCCCAACACCCCATAATACTAAATATTTCCTAATAATCATAATATATAAAATTATACATGTAAATTTGATTATCTATTTATAATGAATAAATCACATTGACTACATATTACAAGCCACAATTACATTATTATTAGCCAAGCAATAATTTGATTTTGTCATTTGTCAGTCTGACCAATTATTACTCTAATTTTAACTGTATTAACAGTTGCATCAAATTCAGTCAAATTCAGTCATATGTTATTTGAATTTACTCATCTGACATCACTTTACTGCGCACGATGTTGATTAGTGATGGTGACGCATATTTTCTAGCATAATGAGATATACTTCTCTCAGAATATTCTAAAACGAAGATAATAAGGACATCATATCATATTTTCGTAAAAATACACGAATCTGCTATATTAAACAAACTATATAAGAAAATGTGAAGGTCATCGGATTTTTGCGTTACGGCAAAATTATAATACAAATTAGTAAATTAAAGATTTACCCATATTCATTAGTTAAATTGACTAAGCTAGGAAGGGTAAATGCAGAAGGTAGTGACACTATTTCTTAAAATATAAGTTTTTTTTTTAATTAATTATAATTTTTATTATTTATAAGCTGTAACCTGTTGCGTTAAAGCAAAGATTAATGACCTATACACATATAAGTTATTGAAAAACATATATATATATACTGTATATATAAAAAAAAAATTATACCGAAAAATATTAAAAATTCAGTTTTTTTTAAAAATTATTAAAATATCAACTGATCAATTTTAAAATTGTTTTTTAAACATTTGAAATAATCTTTAAAAAGATCCAATATCTTGAATCGTATTTCTTCTATATAAATTGTATAAATTCACGAGTATATAAATTTACGAGTAATATTGCATAATAATGTAATGTTATTGTTGCATAACGACGTAAATTAATAATATGTACGCTCCAAATGATTATAGTTTAGATAGTTTATATCCGGATTAGAGATGCAAAAGGTTAACTTTATTGTATTGTATAGTTTAACCATCATAAAGGAATTATTTTTATCCCCTATGTACAACGTTAAATAAAGAGAAAAGAAAAAATAAGTTCTTTTTTATTCGGCCGCTTCCGTATACTAATAACGTGCATGTGAATTTTTTAAAGAGCGTAGAATTTGGATCCATTATCTGTAAAATTGTGACTAAAATTTATTTCGACTTAGAATATAGCAATAGACTCACTATATTATATATTTATTTATTTATTTATTAAATATCAAGGCATCTTGATTTTCTTTTTATCTTCCTTCTTTACTTGGCTCTCTCTTATCTTTTTCGTTATATTGTTTGCAATTTCATATTTTAATCCATCCTATATCTCTTCTAATCGAACTATCTGTATAAAATATCAAAACACTTTCATTTGTTATTTATCACCTTCATATAATTCTTTCCTATATTTTCTCAAATCTTTCATTTATTCTTAATATTTCATTTCTATCCTCTTTATCAAATATAACGTCCAGTTTATCCCATTATTCGTAATCAATACTCTAGTTCTTATTGTTTACTTTTAAATATTGATTAATTCTCTACTTATTTGAACTTACATCATTTCTCTTTAATTCTCTATAACATACTACTTCTTTGTTACTTCTTCCTGCTTCTCTGGTTATCTGTTGCCATGTTTTTAACTTATTTTCTTTGTGTTATGTATAGTATATGATATCTACTGATTTCAAACTCTTGATATTTTTGTTAAGAATTTTTGCGCTCAACATTTCATTTATCGTAATATACCCACCTTTGACTACACTCGGATAACCATTCGGTGAATATTTGAATTCTAAGTTCGTTACTGCAACATCACGATCATTAACTCAGTGAATTTCCCGTTAAACCATTTAATTAAACAACTCTTTGTGCCACTTATGGCTTATTTTTTTTGAAAAAATTATCTATTGTATAAATATACTGTATTGTTACACTGGATAAGTCGCAACATTTTTTTTAGTTTTTATTGTAAAAAATATTTTTGCTCAAGTTTAAAACCAGTGCTACTTATTATTTTTCTTAATAATACCCTAAAACCTGTAGCAATTTTTTAATTCTTTCATTTGATATAATTTTTAAAAATTATTTGTTAAATGAAAAAAAATAAATGAGAATAAAACAATCTGATACTTCTAATCATGTTGCGAAATATAATAGTGATAAATCGGTGTAACTGATTGAAATCTTTGAGAATATGATCATTTGAAATTTGATGTAAACTGACTACATTTAATGAAACTTTTTAAAAGTGTTAATTAAAAGTTATAAAAATATAAATATTTCTTTGAAATAATGAATTTGATCGAACCAATCATGCTCGATCATTATTCGGACCAAGTTAAAAATTTTTCATGTTTAAAAGAAAGACTGTTTGGTACGTTTAACAATTAATGAGTTTCTTTTTGTTAAATAATCTTAAGAATTCACTATAGCTTATTGATTAATCACATGTTAAATTACATGTGACATTAAACGTGATCGATACACGTGTTTTCACAATTGGTTTTTTTTGGTCACTGTGTATTTATCATCTTGGTAGTACAAATTTTCCAATCGTTAGACAAAATCTTACTATATTAGGATAATACATCCATGTGTATGATATCATTAATTTACCCAATAAGGAAATTCTAGATCCACAGATTTCTTTTTTTTAAATAAACAAAAAAAAATTTTTTTTTTTTCTTACCGAATAATTTATTTTTTAATTAATTGATCAACTAATTTAATTATGTCAGAAATCAACCTAACAAACGAATATGCAAACACTGCAATAAAAGCTATCGATGATAAATCAGAAGATTTGAGATCCATCAGTTTAAAGGTATATTAAAGCACATTCATTATATCATGATATTTATTTATTTAGTAATCGGTTTTAAAAAATATATTTTTATTAATATTAATTTAGATTCATGAAAACCCGGAATTAGGTTCAAATACAATAAATAATTTTTGATACATTTTTATCCTATAAAAAACTTTTTTATAATTATAGAATATATTTATTTAGCTTTTAAAGAAACATTTGCTCATAATTTGTTAGTAGAATATCTCAAAGATCAAGGTAAAATTTTTAGTTAGGGTAAAAATATTAAATTACATTATTTTTAAAAAATATTTATTTAATATTATTAATCATTTCAAATTAGGATTTAAGGTAACTCCTAGTGCATACGGCCTTGAAACAGCATTTGTAGCAGAATTTACGTCTAAAGGTGGTGAAGGAAGGGTTATTTCGTTTAATTCCGAGTAAGTATAATATTAGCAATTTATTTGTTTATCTTTATCAAACAAATCATTATTTAACAAATCATAATTTTTCATTGCAATAGATATGATGCACTTCCAGAAATTGGCCACGCTTGCGGTCACAGTATGTTGTATTTCTCAATCATGTATATGACCAATCATTTATATTGTTATATTCTAATAAATTGTTCTTGTTGAATAATATGTTTTTAGATCTGATCGCAATTGGTGGAGTTGCTGCCGCAATAGCAATAAAGGCCGTATTTGAAAAACATGAAATTCCCGGAAAAGTAAAATTATTTGGTACTCCTGCTGAAGGTTAATATCTTGAATATGAAAATATCTATTAGTTAATTTGTTATTGTCATTATTATTATTTACAACTTTTCAATTTCAGAAAATGGTGGTGGAAAAATTATTTTGATCAAAGCAGGTGCTTATAATGATGTAGAAATTTCTTTAATGATTCATCCTAGGTAAAGTTATATAAATAAGGTTAATTTTGCTTTCTTAAAAGAAAAAAAAAAAGATTCCTAATTAAAATGTATGCATTTATATTTTATAAAGTCCTTATGAAGGAAGTTTTTTCAGTCATTTTGCTAATGAGTCTTATAACATTGAATATTTTGGAAGAAACGCACATGCTGCTGGTATACCATGGGAAGGAATTAACGCATTAGATGCAATGATTTTGGCATTTAATAATATTGGATTATTAAGACAACAAATCAAGCCCACAGAAACTAGGTAAATTATTGTGTTATAAATTTATTAAGTGTAATAATTCTTTTTTTCTTTTTTTTAATTCTAAATTACTTTTTTAGAATTCATGGAATTATAAATAATGGTGGAAAAGCGCCAAATGGTATTTCAAATATTATATTTATTATTATATTAAATTATATAAACTATTTTGATTAATCAGTTGTATCATGTTTTAGTTATTCCTGATTATACATCTGCGAGTTTCACTATTCGTGGGAAAACACTTGAAGTTCTAAATGCTCTGAAACCACGTGTTTATGGATGTTTTGAAGCAGCCGGTGAAGCAACTGGATGTACGGAGGCAAATGGGACCAAAGACGTTAAAATTTTCCGGAAAAGAAGGGTTTTTGGTTGGTTTATTTTTATTGATAGGTTAATTTAATGTAAAATATATATTTAATAATTTTATGATTTTCTTTTAAGATGTGAAAGCAAACGTTACTTTGGGTGAAAGATATGAGGAATATCTTAGGAAATTTGGTAAAGAAATTATACCGAAATCAGAACAAGATGGAGTATTCCTAGGTTCAACTGATCAGGGAAATGTGACTTATGTAGTTCCTAGTATCCATGCTTTATATGATATAAAACCTCCTAAAGGAAGTGGAAATCATACGATTGGTTTCACTGATGCTACTAAAACTGAGTTTGCTCATAATGCTACATTATTTGCATCAAAAGGAATTGCATTAACTGCTTTAGATTTTTTAATTGATGATGAATTTGCTAAAGAAGTTAAAGATACTTTTGATGGTGGATTTCATTGGGTAGATTCAATGTAATATTTTTTCATGTAATTTATTTTACTGTATAAATATTATTCCATATTATAATTATTATTCGTAAAATTTAAATTTTTAATAAATTGAATGTTAAAATAACATGAAGTAATAATAATTTATGAAACCAACTTGGTGATGTGTTTAAAATTAGTTTATTGGTTGATACAATTGTTTGATTCTAATAATCTCAAGTTGAAAAAATAGCCCTATTAGTTTATAATATAAAGTAGGATAAAGGTAATAATAATAAGTAAATAAATATAAAATACTTGTTGAGTTAATTTGAATTATCATCTGGGTAGTGTTCACATCGGTGGTTGATCTATTAGGTACTACCGGATGTATTTAGTGTATACTAGGGATGTATCCAGTCCAGGGAACAGGGCAACTATCCATTATCTTGGTCAGTACAGTGCTTCGTATGTACAGTACATGTTATACCAATATTTGGCATATCATGCTAATTATATAATGATTTGAATTTATAACATATAAAAATTACACATAAATTTGTTAAATACATGGTTCAACTTGATTGTTTGTTTAATATACCACCCCTCTCTATTTTTTTAAAAAATCTAAATTTTGATAAAATATATAACAACGTATATAGAATTTTTCAAAGATTTCCAAAGGTTTATTACTATATTTATTTCATTTAGTTTGTTTTAATGAAACCCCTCTTCCCCCTCATCAAACTTTTCAGAAATCTGGATATTAAACAAATAATTAAATTGAAACAGCGTTAGTTATATTAATTTGATATTAAAATCTAAATCTAATATTATACTTAATAATGATTTGATGTGGCACTTTATACCACATCAACAAATATAAGCTACTTGAATGTTTAAAATGATAATATTCTAAAAGAATGCGTTTTAACATAAAAATAGTTTAAAAAGAATTCTTTAAAAATTTTTATTATTTTTATTGTGCTCATTAAATATTCTTATAAAATATTGATCACTACCATTTCAGTAAAACATCAATTTGGCGAAATGGCTTTGACAGAGTCCTTTAGCAAAATGTCCATTAGCAAAAGAGCTATATTTGAGGCGAGATAGGTTTTATTAGTGAAATGAACTTCAGCAAAAATTCTAGATACTTCATTTAACTTAATATAACTCACTATTATATTTTGCATACTGTAACATATGACTTTTCCTAGGATATCTAATATATATGCACTGGAAGAGAAATAAGTATACTTATATAAAGGAGGAAGTTTAGTTAATTTTTGACTGGTTTTCATTATTGACACAGATATTGGTTGAAGCAGCAATATTATTTTTTTTTGTTATACTTATTTTTTATTATTTATCAAATCTATATAACTAAAAAAAATTTGGTGATAGTGTGATACTTAAAGTCATGAATAATTTATTGGCAATTGGTTTTACTATTCAATTTCTTTTTTAATCAACTCATTATTTAGAAAAAGTAATAATATTCCTTTTCACAATTTTCATAAGTATAACGTCCATAAATAAAAATTCATTCCACTAAACACCAAAAAAATATTTATCTTCATTATTTTATTTATTAATAATTAATTTGAACAAACATTTTTTTTTATCAATTACTTATAACATTATCATAATTTTATATCTAAAAGATTACTTTTTCCGGAAAAGTAGTTTATTTTTAAAATAATGAAAAACAAAAGATTTTAATTAGTTTCCTCTTAAACTTTATTCCCAATTTAATACTATGAATCGTACGATCACATTATTTCATGATGTATCAACCGTATCACATGTGCTATTTTGATGATCATTTATAAAAAATTATTTTATAGTTTTAAGACCTTGGAATATATCTGGAAAAAGTAATAAAATATAAAATGAGAGAATAAATAATTAAAAATAGAACTAAAGCATGGATTAGTATGACAAAAATATATTGGCATGTCCAAAACCTTACCATCTGCCTAAATTAGACCACACCAATTTAATAGTTTGTTTGACGTCCTAACTTTATATAAAAATTGAGGGGGGGAGGGGGTCAAATTAAGTAAACATTTAAAAACAAACATATAAATTAATTGAGTAATTTAAATTTATTTAATTTTTTTTTATCCAACTTCTAGTAACTTTAATCCTTCCTTGTGTTGGCCAATTGTAACCTTTACTTTCACAAGTTTGGAAAATGGATACAGTTCACCCTCACTATAGTGAATTTTTATATAGTAAATAATTTACTATTGTAAAGAAAAGCTCAGGTACGAATTTTCTATATAAATAATAATTCTTAATAAAGTTCACCTTCGCTATAGTGAATCCTTACTATAGTGAATCTTAACCTTCAGCCCATGAGCTTCACTATAGCAAGGGTGAACTGTATATAGTAGTAAGCTATCATTTGGCTCTAATAACTCATTTTTTCCCGAAAATAAAAACAATAATTTCTGTTTTTAAACAATGACATGAATAATATACAGCTTCAATTAGACTACTACAATAGATTTTTTGTCTAACATATACTTTTTCGTAAAGATTTTGTCCACAAACATAAATTACATTATCTATTAAAATTTCTAAACTGGTTTTTTCCTTTTTTTTTCGTCACTCAATGCATTTTTATTAAAAATACATCTTGGTTTATTACAGATAGTGCAATTAATAAGTTTACATATATTACTATTATTAATTGTATTACTAGGAGAGAAATATTTTCTTTGGTAGATCCAGATGCATTAGGAAGAAATTCTTTTAAATATTGTACAGATCAGTAATATTATTATAAGTCACGTGATATAATATATGTTTGTTTATTTTTAAAAATTTTTCAAAAACGATTTGGTCGATAATTTAGGCCAATGGTAAGGTTTGGGAATGGTCAAGTTTTGTCAACAACAGCCACACAGAAATAATCATAAATTATATTACAATTGTTTTGACATTTTTGATGTTAATTTAAATTAGTTAAATATTTTATTACTACAGTTATATGTCCATTTTTATAAATGTACAAGTTGTACTACAACGAAAGCATTCAAAAAAGAAAAAAATATTATTTTTGTCATTTTATTATATAAACCAATTGTAAAATAAAAAAAATGCTATACATTTTTCACTAAAATAATTCATAAATATTTTGTTCATAACTCTATTTTATTTATATATATAATATTTTATGTAATATATATATTGATTATAAACATTAATTCTGGTGTGAATCAACAAGCGACTGCTAGTTTATTACTGTTTTAGTGCATTTATATAAATACATGGATACCTGACACTGTGACACACATCACTTATTATTAAATAAACATTAGGACATAATTAACAATTAAATTTCCAGTTGTAATAAATTTTTTATTATTAAGTAAATTTTGTTTACTATATTAAAAAAAAAACTCTTCATTCAAACAAAATATAATTTTACATAAATCAAATAGTATAAAATTTTCATAATATGTATAATTTATTGTGATAAAATAGTATCGGATGACCTAACTAGAAAGGATAGGCTAAAAAACCCTATTAATTAAAATTGTATACAGGATGTTATTATCCATGCATGGTATAAATCGGTTATTTCTGATCTTATTATCACTATAACTGCATATTAGGGAAGCTTTAACGTAGTTTTTATCAGCAGGACACGCAAAAATACAACACACCCAAATATCACAATTGTACAGTTCATTTTTAATACAAGAATTTATTGATAGTTAATTTGAGTTAATCCCTAACTTATACAAACCTAACCTAGCACACTTTAACTCAAGAAAAATCCAAGTAAAAATAATTTATTCAGCCCATTTTATAACGTATTTAAATAATATTGTGAAGTTTCAGTGTTATTTATATAAAATAAAATATAAGAAAAATAATATAACAAAATAATAAATAAAATAAATAATAAATATAATATCATATATATCATATATATATTATATATATTACAGTATATGATATGATATGATATAATAAATATAACGTAAATTAGATCTACATAAATTTGATTACTTCGTTTGCTAATCGATTTTTACCGCGCCATGATCTACGTTAACATATTTCATTGCAAATTTCCTACAAGTAATTATATGCCTCTTAAAAATTAAGTTATATTGCACAATCCAGACATTCGGAATTTAGATCTTTTGTTAAAGGATTAAGTAATCGAGATATATAAATAGCCTGTGGATGATGTGGATGAGTAGTTTCTTCAATAGACAAAAGAATTGCTTTTCTAAATACTTCTGCTTCTTCAAATTGTATTTTAATTTCATCATTGTCTGCATCATTTTCTGCATTATAAATAGATGTAAGTAATAGTGAGATGAATTCCTCCACTTCAGTAACATTTGGTCTATTGTTTAAGTTTGAATCCCAACATTTTTTCATTAATTTAATATAACATTCTGGTGCTTCTGGTTCTTTTATTTCAGGTATATTTCCATTACAAATATCAAATGCTAAAAACTTATCATGTGCATAATCGGCAAAAGGTTGTCTTCCAGTTGCTACAAAATACATAATCATACCAAAGCTATAAATATCTGCTGCTTGAGTATAAGGCTTTCCTCTTAATACTTCAGGAGCTATATAAGGCATAACTCCATAAATATTTGTTTTATCTGCATTACTAACCTCTTTGCATAATCCCATATCTGAAATATAAACAACGGAAGAATCATTACTGAATAATATATTTCCTGTATGAAAATCACCATGAACTTTTTGTTTTTGATGAATTTCTTTAAGGCCATTAATAATATTTAATAATGTAAATAATTTATTTTTCCAATCAAAATATTCAAAATATACATTTATCCAATTATTAAAACTTCCAACATTTGCATATTTAAGAACCATAATATAATCTTTTGTATCAGGATTTTGGGATATTCCATGTATATTAAGAATATTACTTCCTTTAGCTATTGAATATTCTTTAACCTATTAAAAACATGTAAATATGTAAATAGTTATTATTTTTTTAGATTAAGTTTATAAGTTCTATTTTCAATTATTCTTTAAAAAATGTCATACCTCATTTAAAAATTCATTGGTGATATTTTGTGAATTATGCAAACATTTTAATGCGATTACTCTATTTGGATCCCTTTTATATATTTTGTTATTTACATCATATTCTAATGGACCAACTTTCCATTCTGCTGAATATACCGTAGAAAAACCACCATAGCCTATTTCTTTAATATTTTTAAACTGATTAAATGGTATCCACTCAACTACTACGTCATTATAATTATTTATTTTTAACTTCATTTCTTGAATAAAATTATCAACTTTTTCATTTCTACTTGTCCAGATAAAATTTTTTTGAACCAAAATATAATCTTTTGTGTCAGGATTTTGAGATATTCCATATATTTTAAGTATCTCTAAGTCAAATGTTTTTGTTAAACATTTTTTAACCTAAACATAATAATAAAGATAAGTATATTTTTCAGAATAATGCTATAATAATCTGAATTTGTTGAAATTTATACCTCGCTTACTAATGATTCGGGATTTTGCGAGTTATGCAAACATTTTAAAGCAACTTCTTTATTTGGATCTCTTATATATTCTTCATGCCGAATATTCCAATATAATGGACCATTTTTCCATATTGCTGAATTTACTGTTATAGAACTATTTTTGTCTGTCTCTTTAATTTCATTAAACTGACTGTATGGTATCCATTCGAATGCCACATCATGATGGTCTTTAATTTCTAATTGCATTTCTTGAATGAAAACATCAATTTTTTCATTTCCACTTATCCAATTTGTAAGGGTTATGGAATTATTTTGAACTAAAATACAATCTTTCGTATCTGTACATTGAGATATTCCGTATAATATGTGAAATGATTCATTTTTTGTTGAATATTTTTTAGCCTAAATATAATATAAACAATATATAAATATACTATGCCATAAAGTATTCAAATACTTGTAAAAATTTTATACCTCGTTTATTATAAATTCAACAGAATTTTGTGAGTTATGCAATAATTTTAAGACAACTTCTTTATTTGAATCTCTTGTATAATCTCCAACATAACGCAATGGACCATCTTTCCATATTGCTGAATACACCGTCATAAAACTATTTTTGCCTATTTTATTAATTTCATTAAACTGACTATATGGTATCCATTCAAATACTACATCATTTTGCTTATTGATTTTTAATTGCCTTTCTTGAATGAAGTCATCTATTTGTTCATTTCCACTGGTCCAATTTGTGAGGTTTATAGAATTATTTTGGACTAAAATATAATCATCTGTATCTGGACTTTGAGATATCCCATATAACATAAGAAATGATTCATTTTTTGTTGAATATCTTTTGACCTAAACATAAACAACTGAAGAGATAAGTATACTATGCTAAAAAAAAGTATTAGTAATTATTGTAAAAATTTGTACCTCATTTATTACAAATTCGATAGGATTTTGTAAATTATGCAAAATTTTTAAACCAACTTCTTTATTTGAATCTCTTGTATAATCATCTTCCCAATTATTGTAATGTAATGGACCATTTTTCCATATTGCTGAATATACTGTCATAAAATTATTTTTGCCTGTTTCTTTAATTTCATTAAACTGACTGTATGGTATCCATTCAAATATTATATCATGATGATCTTCAATTTCTAATTGCATTTCTTGAATAAAATGATCAATTTTTTCATTTCCGCTTATCCAATTTGTGAGGTTTATAGAGTTGTTTTGGACTAAAATATAATCTTTTGTATACGGATTTTGAGATATTCCATACAATATAAGAAATGATTCATTTTTTGTTGAATATTTTTTAACCTAAACATAAACAAGAGATAAGTACATATACTATACTAAAAAAGAAGTATTAATAATAGTTGCTGAAATTTGTATTTTGTACCTCATTTATTACAAATTCGACAGGATTTTGTAAGTTATGTAAAATTTTTAAAGCAACTACCTTATTTGAATTACTCATATATTCATCTCCCCAATTATTGTAATGTAATGGATCATTTTTCCATATTGCTGAATATATTGTCATAAAATTATTTTTACCAGTTTCTTTAATTTCATTAAATTGACTGTATGGTATCCATTCGAATATTGTATTTTCAACTTTTAATTGCATTTCTTGAATGAAATCATCAATTCTTTCATTTCCGCTGGTCCAATTTATAAATTCATTTTTTAAATATCTAGAATGTTTTGAGCATTCAATATCTTGAGAAGACATTATTTCGAAAGCTCAAAAAATTTTTTTGAATTATAAAATTTGTTTATGTAGTGATCACATTTCATGCGTAACAATCATAAAAATGTAATATGACGTTATGGGTTCAACAAAATATTATTATGTATAAGATCGTAGGTTTCACAACGGTCGGCATTGGTCAGTCATTGGTCGGTCACAATAATATCAACAATAATAATCAAAAAATTTGTTTAGTAATCTTATTTAACAATAAATTGTAACTTAAATTACAATTTGTAATAAATTACTTAAAAATGATCGGTCAAACGGTCAGTCAGAAATCTTTGCCGATCGATATCGATACCGGTTAATGGTATATACCTTTTGTTAGACTGCATATATCACACACGCAATTTTCTAGAATGGATACCCTTTATGAATTAAGCAGTTATTGTAGTTTATAAACAAATGCACTATTTATTTCTATCATTATTAAACCCATTTGTTATTTTAGAAACCTAGAGTAGTGTTAATAAATCGAGTCATGCAATATTAAAGTTAATAGGTTAAATTTAAGCTATCTTTTATTTAATTGAGTACATTCAATATGTTATTTGCTTTTTAAGTTATTTTTTTTTTATTAATCATTAATAAACCGTTTGTCATTTCTAGTTCTTTAAAAAAATAAAACAAATAGCTGATAGCAATCCCGTATAAACTATGACATAATTAATTTCGTTGTACGCGGTACACCAATGTTTGGCGTTTTCTTTTTTGCCCCATTATTATTGTAAATTTGTAATCATATCAGTAAATGGTTAAGACCGGATTTTGGTTTCACAATTTTTGGTTTCACAATTTTATATGTAATAAAATTACGTGGCGCAGAAATTTCAACGAAACATATGGCCCGTAAGCACAAAAAGTATATACAAAAGTTATTATCTGAATATACAAAAGTTATTATTTGAATATACAAAAGTGATTATTTGAATATACAAAAATGTATATTCAAATAACAACTTTTGTATATTCACATGTATTAAAGTGGTCATTTGAATATACAAAATTCAATATGCTACCAATTTGGCCAAATCTAGAATTAAAAAAAAAAAATTACTGCTTAATTTGGAAATCTACTATATATTCAAATGATAACTTTTGTACATTTAAATGATAACCATTTTTGTATATTCAAATGATAACTTTTGTATATACTTTTTGTGCTTACGGCAGGCCATAAAAACATTTCATTTTATAGAAATACCATACATTTTTTATTAGAATTTACTTGATGATAAAATTCGGGTTGACTCTGATGACTTTTTAAGAAAAACTAATGTTATAATATGCGCGATTTACTCTTTTTTAGCAGCGCGTTTTTTTTGCTAATTTTAAAAGATACAATACGATTAATTGTAACGCTCTAATAAAATAATGTTGTACGTAAACTTGTATTTTAAATATTCAAAGTTAATAAATCTTTCTAATATTTGTAATTAAATAAGAATAATAAATATAAGACTTATAGTGGTGAGAAAATAATTTGGAAAACTTTAAAGTGAATTTACTCAATAACCAGTGATTATATTTGCAAAATAGTTTGATTTATTTAAAAGCACAATACAATGAATACAATGAGATTTAAACCATATACAATTAAATTTCGTTCTTTCTCTCTTTACCCTAATAATTTCCTCAAAACTTAATTTTATTGGTTTGATTAAATTGTTTATACCTTTTTTTGGGTCAAATTTTCCAAATTTTGTGGTTTTTATTTTTTCACGTCCTGTTAATAAATTGCACAATTTTTGATCATGTTAAGTGGTTTATTTTAATTAGCCAATAGTTTCTTCATAGTTTCCTATTGTTAGCATTAGTGAGCAAATAAAATTTTCTATCATATTATTAATATCATGAAATACTTTTTAATTAATATGCCTAGAAACTATTATTTGTTTGCAATGGTTTTTCAACCAAAATATTAGTCATTGTCATAAAATTCTGCCTAATGTATTAATTTATAATATTTATTGCGGTATTTGTATCATATTTTTGTCGATTCCATTGGGCTTTTAATCAAATTTTTAAACCATAATAAAATCTGGAGACTCTAGTGACTTAAATACTGCACTTCTTAAGTATAAACTTATTTTTTGTTATTTTTTTTGATAAAACCTTTTGGTTCTGAGTTATTTTTTCTCGAGAAGTTGTTTAAAGGAAGAATATTTATTTAGAGGCATATTTTTTTACATTAAATTGTTCTAAATTTATGTCACGCATAAGTTAAATAAAAATTTATAATGTTTTTTCTCTCATTTCAAATAATAATTCTTTTTATTGGATAAATTATAAAAAGCGATCATTTCGGTAGAAAAATAACTAGTTAAATGTTTGGAAATAGGAGTTCCATTTTGGATGGTAATGAAAAAATCGAAAAAAATATATATCCAATAAAAATTTAGCGAGGATGCACCGATTAGGAAATTAATAACCATCGAGAATTGGCGATGTACCGATATTATACTGATATTATAAAATTTTAAGAAAACTGTTATATAATGAGTAATGTACGTACGTAAATAAAATACTTTCGTTTTAAAGTACTTTCATTTCTTATTTACCCATTATATAATTATATTTATTCCGGTTGTATAAAATTTTGTTTTAAAAAATATAAATAAATGACTACACTCTAGGAAAAACCCTTTTTTTCAATTAATCTCTTTCTAGAATATGGCAGCAATAATGAGAGCATTTGTGACTTTATCACCTTTACCAACAAACTACCTTAAATCAGGCTAATTTTTTTTTCATATCTGGAAAACAGTTCATTTCAAAGGGGAATAGAAACAATATAAGTTTCCCGCACGCGGATGCTACTAAAAATAATACATTAAATTTCATTGGGAGAAAAACTTCTGGATGAGTCGATCTAAAAAAAATTCTTGCGATTAAATTAAACTTTGCAAAACTGAATTGAATAATGAATTAATAGCAGATTTAGATTTATCTTGAATTTGAAATTTCTGAAGATGTTATTGGATCATTTTATACAAAGAATACAATACAATACATACTAAGAGCGACAATCAAACATAAATCAAGAAGGAAGAAAATACAAATGAAGTTTTGGTTCCATTATTTATGTGGATTATTACGGCTGATCAAGAAATAAAACCTTTCAATTAGTAACAAATTTTGCTAGATACGTACGTCCCTATAAGGACCCCGAAATATTTGTGTAAAGGTCAGGTGATTTCAGAAAATTTTACTATTAGCTGTACGCACGTTTTTCAGGGCCGGAATTATGCTAATGTCAGTCAGTTACTAAAATGGTAATAAAATATTGACTGGCATTATATAAAATTATTTAAAAAAGGAAAGATCAACACGATTTTGGGTTAAAAATCGCCTTACCTTTTTATATATATTTCGGGTATCTTGGCATGAATAGTAAAGCTTTGGTAAAGTTAAAATTAACGTCTCAAAAACTTGATTTACGTGTACGTAAATTTAGTATGTACTTAAAAACTTTGTTTTTTCAATATTCCGTGGATGGATTACCTGAAGAATGTCAAAACTCAAGACTCCAAAACTGGTAATGATGACTTCCGTGCGTGCAAATATAATATTTGTAATAAATATATAATTTTATAAGGGTTCCTTCAAAGGCTTACCCTGCTGGTAGAACAAAGGATATATCAATTAGAAAGCAAATCCAAATTAAAAGTCACTTTTGAATGGTCACGTTATAATGTTATGATCACGAGAGAAATAATCGTAGAAGAATTTCTTAGATGATAAAACTGCGGCTGATATGAAAGATTCTATGATTACTTTTCCGGCTCCAAATTTAAATAGTTAGTTAGAATATCCTTTTTAGTAATGAACGAGATAAACTAATAGAAAAATACATATATATATGGGTTAAATTACGATGATTTGGCCCTGTACCCACTCCTGTACTCCCTATTACGGCATTACGCGAATTTTTGCTATTAATAGGGAGTGTTTAAAACCGGTTATTAGCTTTTTACTACAACTACAACGTGCTTCTGATTACGAGTACATGTAACTACTTTACCATTACGTACTACCTAACTACGTAATCATAATTTTTTTACATGACTACATGACTACGTGAGCACAAAAATATAATCGACTACATTACCTATCACGTACTTACGTAGCTAAGTAATCATAGACTACCCAGCGTACCCTACAAAAATGTCACGAAATGGCCGGCATTAAGAGATTAAGAAATTAAACTATGTGACAAATAATGTGTGACGAATAGGATTTCACACTTCGAAAAAATTCAAGTCCCTCAGATACTTATGAAAAATGGAAACAAGGAAGGGTGTGGCGTATGTGACAAAAAACGGTCACGTGATTTTTCGTGACATTTTTGTAGGTAAAAATAAATTTATGTAATTGTAAAATTTACTATTTGTACTGTATAATGTAGTCGCTTTGCAGTATTGTGCTTACATGAGTCTATGACTACGTGATATCTATGACTACGTGAGAGTACGTGATATCATGTACTCGTAGTCACAACTGCATTGTAGTTGTAGTAATTAAATATATAATCGTTTAAAACATATAAAATAATTAGGGTATTGTTACACGTCACCTAAGATATTTGTTGGATTATTTAAATAATCCTCTTATTTTTAGTTTTTTTCCTTGTCTATTCCTTTATATATTAATATTTATTTCCTATTCAAGTTTTTCTCTTCCTTTTATTGTTAGAAAAGAAACCATAAATCACATAAGATTCCATTATAATATTCTAAGATTTTATAAAAATTTAATTTTTGATTTAGTAATATTTTTATATCATACAATATATTGTATATTTTTTTTATATCTGTTTCATACATTTTATCCCATTTTGTTAATTTAATTTTTTTAACAAATTAGCAGGAAAAAAAATTAATTAGAGAAATTTTATAACATTTCTACAAAGTCATCAAACATCAACACGATTTACTACAAAAAAATTCATCATCAAAAAAAAAAAAAAAACTTGTAACAGTCCTTTATTAAAAAAAATGTATATTGTATAATTGTGAATAAAATAA